TATCGAAATTATAATGCCGATTTACCGCATTTACTTGAGAGCATATTAGTGTAGCTAAAATTTGAATAATATTGTGGCAAAAGTTACGATATTCTGATTTCTGCTGTAATATTGTATCTGAATTTTATCAAAAATTAACGCGAGACAGTGTTTCTGCTCAGCATTTAAGTAAATTGGTGTTACTAATCTGTTTCTATCAAAGAAGATTTTATTTCTGCTCATCTTTTTAACTTCTTTGAAGAATAAAAAAATCTTATCTTTTTTTCAGAATTAAAAAAAAAGATAAAATTTAGAATAAGTTTAGATAGATAAAAGAAAACAAGATAAAGAAAGATAAATACAAGAAAAAGAATAGAATTTTCAATTAAAAAAGGGTGAGAGTTAGAAAAAGATGAAGATTAAAAAGTGAATTATTTTGCATGTCAACCTGATTCTATAGGTATTCATGGTTGATTCTTATATTAAATTCTTATATTAGATTTAAGAAAACTCTTAAACTGTTACGAACCAATCAGAAGCCGTATTAACATCTTAAGACACAACTTAAGACGATAACTTAAATTTCTCCAAATTTCATGTTATTAAACTTAAATTAGTTGAGTTTTAGTAAATCCTACCAATACTCGTGCTACATATTATTAGTATTTTTACCTTATAACCTTAGTAACGCTGATAATATCTGCGATATTAAGAAAAAATGTATTCAAAACGTCGCAACGCGATGCTGGCGATCGTTGGGATTATTTATTGATAAAGATACTGGCAGAAAAGTAAAGAAAGAGTTATGTGACACCGGCGTGCGACAGGGAAGGTCGAAGGACGGTAAAGGGATATAACACCTTCAGAGGCAGGTCGACGCTATGAGACAGTCGACATGCGTAAAGATGTGCGTGTATACGACGCATGTGTATCGGTACCGGATATCCGTGAGGTGACTTGCGTCGTATTCGGTCGGAATATGCGGGCGCAGTCTTTTTAGAAGGGCCGATCAAACATGAGTGCGCGTCCGGTGGACGACGACGATTGGCCCTTCGTGAAACTAAGATATAATTCAGAGAGTCTACTTTTTTCTTCTTAAACAAAAAAAAAAGTAATCATCAAATTCAAAGTGACAAACTTATTAGGACTCAGCTTTTTTAACTGGAAACTGGTTATTCTCGACACAATTCAAAAGTATCCAGCGTATCCTTGAAATGTTTGGTCATTTTATTGCGTTACAAGAAATTGTATTTTAATTTTTGAGACGGCTGATTTTTACATATATAAATAACGAGTAAATTATATGGATTAAAACTTAATATAGTGTTATATGAATAATTGCATAATGAGTAATTCCGCGCAAGTCGCGTAATAGAAGTGCATGATAACATGTCACACAATATTAATAACAATATAAATTCCTCGAAGGCAATAAACGTTTAAGCCACACAATCGTGCAATAGTGCAAAAAAAAAAAGAACGAAAGATGAAGCGAGCCTCGAGCCAGATCGCAAATCCAACGTTCCGCGCCTCCTTTAACGATCCTTATAAATCCTTAACAGCGGCGGGTTTATCGCCGTGACTGCCGACGGCAATCGGGTTGTGACTTTCGTAGTTGCGGGAACCGATCGGGCGCATACCGATCGCTGAACGGTCGTGAAAGGTGAAAAGAATGGTTTCCGAATGTTTTACACACGCGAACCGTGTTTCCGAGGAGTCACATTCCTTCGGAAAAATTTCGACGTATTAAGTTCGCGATATCCGTAATTATCATTCAAAATAGATCCTTTAATTAGCTTGTTACATCTTACACGAGGAAAGGGCGACTTTGCTAAAATATTTAAAGCTAAATACAAATCTGAAAATAATTATGTAGGCTCAAACTGGTTGCTAGAATGTTAAAATTAATTTTTACAACATTGCTTGAGTTTCCTGTGTAATTATTTTGATCCAACAAAATTATTATCAGGTCTACATCTACGTAGAGAAAAATATTCTAGTTGGACCTTTTTGTTATTTAATCAGAACATTATTCTCAGTGTACCTAAATTTTCAGGTACTTCATCAAAATCGTTCTTTTCGTATAAGAAAATCAGTTTTGATGATATTTGACTTATTTATTCCAGCACACCGTCTCAGCAAGTCTTTCGTCCAAAGGTTACTCGCATGCGTGAATTTTTAAATTTTTAAAGGAAAACCATCCAAAAGAGATGATTATGCGTACAAATATGTAATCAATATTTTAAGTTGTCACGAGAATTATCAATGAAAATTCCTGTCTGCAGACGGTTTTCGCGGAATTTCGTATGTATTCTCGATCAATCCATTTACGATTCGTCGTACCGTTATTACCGGGAAGACAAACATCGACGAGAGTAACACTTGTCCTCGGTGTGAAGTTTCACGGGGTCAAGTGTCACGAAAGGTTCGCTCGGACGGATTAGTCTCCGACGACGCGATCTAGGAGGTCCGCTGTATCTTCCATCCGATCGAAAACCAGGACACGACTCGCCGTTTCTTCGTGCTAAGTCGAGCGCGTCGAAAGAATCTCTATACAGTTACCCGTGACATCGACGAGGCACTTCTCTAGCCCCAACGAACGGAATGTCCATTCGCCCTGTCGACTTGTCTTCCGTCACTCTACGCAATGCAAAATTCGTTACAAAAGATATTCATCCCAAATACAAAAGGTACCTGATATCGAGGAATATCAGTTTTAATCTCAGAATATACATAGATATAATGATCTGCGTAATATAACATTTTTAATGATATCTGAAGCTTATGTGACAATATAATTATTCAAAATTTTAACTTTTTCTTCACATGTCATCTTATTTATAGATATAATAATACATGAGAAATTAGAATTAAATAATTTTCAGAAAATTAAATAAATCCTCAATAAAATGTAATATAAAATTGTATCCATAATTACATTATTGCTATTTTTTATTTATCTGCATTGTACAATCCCATATATTTCAACCGAATATGACGCACGAGTTATTATACATAAATCACAAAAAAGAGTATGTATATTAAAAAAAAAGCTTATGGGAACAAAAGGAGTTATAATTTATTATGCGTTTAAATGTAGGTATTTAATAAAATAAAATTTTTAGAATATTGACTATTCTCATTAACATAATTTTATAAATATAAAATTTTAATTAATAATAGAAAATTTCACTACCTCAAAAAGAGTCCATGTACTTTTAATCCCTTCAGATCTGATTGTAATGGAACCACGTTAAAAATTTTTTTTTAATTCAATTCAAGGGCACATTAATAGTTAATTAATACAATATTAAAAAATTATTTTTTTTTATTTTGGACTATTTTTCCATGTAAATTATTACGTATATCTTGGTCTCAGATGATATCGATAGAACTAAATAATTTCAATAGATAACATGTCTTCAAATTTAATACATTACAATGTACACTGTAGGATTTGAATTCTGAAGAGATTCAAAAAGTATGACTGGCAACTCTACGCGCGACACAAGTTACGACCTCAAATAATGAATATCTAGTATCGATATTATGATCTTTCGTTTGTCAACATTTACAAAGAATCAAGCAACAAGAGAGCAAACATATAATATACAAAATGTTGATACACTCAAACAGATTTCATTGTCGGTCTAATGAACAAATAAACTCACGCTCTAATAATACAGCTAACAATTCCACTACTTTCGTTATGCAAACGTGGAATAAAAGTAAAAACATTCGCCTCTCCGAAACGTTTGACTTTTCCTCGCTGATTGTTCTCATTCTCGCGATATACATGTATATAAGTTAGCAACATGTATGTCGAATTAACGTTCAGACTAAAAGTAAATATAGAGCGGCCACCCAACGTGTGTGCAACTAATGTAACCTATATGGTGGGGAAGATTCTGCTCGAATCGTTTCCCACTTTTTACTCGCGTAGTGAGCGTATCCTCCTTTTTCCATCTCGCGGAGATTTATCCGTATTTCTTGTTCGCTCTATCCATTTTCCACTCGCTGCTGCAGTGTAAAAATTTACGTCACACTTCTATACGAAAGATCGACTCTGTTCGGGAATTAAATCAATGATCTTACGATGATTTTGTTACATATATTATTGATTAATTTTTTTTTGCTATTATTATAATTTTATTTTGCGTTTTAGAGAAATTTTATAACCAATTCAATTTAACTTGTGATTTAAATTTTACTTGTGGTAGTAAATAAAGATTTCAATATTTTTTGTTAGTAATTTAGAAGAAATTATGATTGATTTTTATTTCAAAACACAATAAATTTAAAAATAAACACTAAAAAGAAAAGATTAATTTTTAATATTTTTTTTTGTTTAAACAGTTTTAAATAAATAGTTACTAAATATAAATATATATTTATCTGTTACAAAAACGATTAATTCGATTTCTCTATAATTTTTTTATGAAGTAAATATTTATTTACTGCAAGTAAATGTTCACTTAGTACTATTCAAAGAAATATACAGGTTGTCTGATAATTGTTCTGACGGAGTTCGTAGATATGTAGAGCAGACTAAACTGAGATGGAAAGTCCTCATTTTGCAATTTTCACAATAGTTAACAAGATTAATTGCTAAAAATTGCCGAAAATTGGTCTTGAATAATTTTTTACTCAAATATTATTAACTTTACAGAAAAACTGTAAGAGATAAAAATTGTTTATTTTCTTCTCATAGAGCTCTAAGAATTTTTTCAGAATTTTTTAATATCGTATTTTTTCATGTTGATAAAAATGAGGAAATGCAGTACTAAAAAGTTAATAATATTTACAAAATTCTGAAAAAATTCGTAGAATTCTATGAGAAGAAAATAAACAATTTCCATCTATTTCTTTTTCCTGCATTTACGACTTTAATCTTCACAACGGAACGTATAGTATTTTTACTGCAAATATATTACATCATGTTCATCGATAAAGGCGAAAAAAGAACAAAATATTGCATCCACAAAAGAAATAAAAGAATGTAAAGTATGACAATCACTTACCTTGCACCCACAGCTGCTCGACCTTGCTGTTGACTTGCGCGGACTTGAGAGCGACGCAGAGGATCGCCAGTGCGAGGACGGACACGAAGAGCACCTTTCCGGCATGCCTCTGCAGAAAGTAGCCCAACTGGCTCAGCTGATCTTGTAGTCGTGCCCTGAACCACACCGCTGATCTCTGACCATCAGCCTTTCCCTGGAAAGAAGATCGAGGATTCGTGAAGTCATTGCGTAATTACATGTATGGTTCAAAAAAATTTTGCGATGCACAAATTAACTCTGTTCCACATTCACTCGAGAGATTTCTCAACGTACGATTTCTCAATGGTTCTTCTTGCTCTTCGTGAAACAAATCGGTAGAATTATGTACACTGCGTAAATATACATTTCTTAACCGTCCAACGCTGACAATGGATCCAGTCAATTATCTTTGTCAAAAATGTCAAACAATTTCTTTCGTTTATGTTGCAAATTTCATTATTAAAATATGAAGAAATTTTATTAAAATATTTTATAGTATTCGTTCTTTTTAAGTTATGAATTATGACATTTTGATTTCTTAAAAGTAACAAATTATCTATTAATTAAAAAATAAATTAAATTGGTCTTACAGACCTAGTGACTGTTATATAGATTCTAAGCTCCGGAGGGTAAAATATTGCAGAGAAATTTGATCGCCGAGTGAACGTGTACTGATAACGTACTTTCGATACTTTCATGTGTCGCGTTTTCGCTCAGATTGATATAACAATATCGTCGAAAAATTCCAGCACAGAGCTTTTTCTTCGAACCGGCTCAAATATCTCTGAAATAGAGGGAGCGCATTACAATAAATCTCCATCGAAATGTTCTACGAATCGTCGGCGATTTTGGGATGACCTGTATTCCAGAATAATTCCGCGGGACATTACGCGGGATAAGAATGGGTGCAGCCGGTTTCCGGGAAAAATCGGTGAATGCACTCATCGCCGAGAGTGAGAACGAAGGGAGGGAAGAGGCAGGGGAGGCATATGCGTCGGGGCCTTTAAATTTGACGCGTGGGTTTGTAGAACGACAAGCGATGGAAATGAGAAAAAGCGAGAGTGAGACAGAGAAGGTCAGTGAAGAAGGAACGTAGACGGGAGGGAGGGTGGAGGGGGTGAGGATGGCGGTTCGGGCTTTTAGAGCGAGGTTACGGCTGCTTAAACGAAACTGAGAAAAAAGAAAGAGAGAAAGAGAGAGAAATATATATATATATATATAGAGAGAGAGAGGGAAAATACAGAGAAGAAAAAAAAGGTACAAAGAGAGGGGTAATCATACAAGGAGAGTCAGAGTCTTACGGAGAGGAGAGGAGAGATGGAAAACCGCGCTTGCAACATTGCAAACGGCAACGTTGCACACTACCTGGTAGCCGCTCTGACAATATGTACCGTGGACCACCCGCAACAATCCTATCTTTCGAGTCGAGACGAAAGGAAAAGGATGCCTAATTCAGAATGAGACGAGGAAAGAGAGAAAGAGAAGGAGAGAGAGAGAGAGAGAGAAAGACAGAGGTCGAAGTCGTAGCTATCACCCTCTCGTTCGACGCCTAAACAAACAAATACAGGGCTCGATTTGTGACAAACAAGTATTTACCTATAATAGGTAGTTGACCCAAGGATTAGGGTTTTACTAACTTTACGCACCAGCGCCAACGATTCTATTATTACGCGAACAGTTATGTAATCGCACTTTTCCAGTTTTCACTTTCGAAATTACCGAAATCGTAATTAAAAAAAAAAAGATCTGATTATGCGAGCTCTCTCAGCAAACGTTACATGGCTGCTTGAGGTCCATTTCAATGTAGAGATTAACTATAATCTTGATTTAATTTACTTTTTATCCTCTTCTAATTCTTAAAATTAGAAAAAGGCAGAAAGTAAGTTAAGAGTCAAGATCAAAGTTAATCTGCATTGGTAGAAACGGGGCTGGAACGCCGAGAAATGCGCAGTGTAGATATAAAGATATAAAAGCCGCGATAGCCTATAAAATTATTTATGAGTGGCCGTGTATATCCGGAGGGAGCAAAAGGATCTATAATGTCGCCCTTTTGCACCGCGGGTACAGTTATGTTTTAAGAGCGTAATGGTTCCCGCACACAGAACGCGGCAACGGAAGTTGGCGCGATAGCCAATCAACGTCTCGCTTTGCTCAGAAGTAATAGATATACAATTTTCAAACTTTTGAACTCAATCCAACTTTTGTCGCGCGCGGCGGAGGTAATATTACATCATTTCTAGAAGTTTCGCATGGTGAGACCGACTTAAGAACATAGAATTATTGGCAAACATTGCAGCGTTCTATGTGCAGGAGCCATTAAGCCTATTCTACAATGTACTCTTTGTTTCCTGTTTCTTGTTTTTTACCTTTTACTTTTAACCCCTTTGCAACCGTTTTATCGACAATTGTATTTCTTGTTTCTTTCGAAGTTCGTTAATCTCTTCGTTAGTCTCTCATCTCGGGCGATATAAAATAAAAAAGCGAATAAGAAGCAAAAAGATAAGATGTAAAAAAATTGCAAAAAAGCAAGAAACTGGAAACAAAAAGTGTATTGTAGAACAGGCTTAATATGCTCGTGCGCAGCTGACGGACGAAAATATGGATTGCACGCGGGCACGTATCTCGGGGCGGTAGCCGCGTCCGGGTATCGGATAGCAAGGTTTTCCAGCCAATTAACTCTCGTGGCGCGGGCCCGTGACTCGACACAAGCGAGAGGGAAGAGGGGGAGGGGAGGGGAGGGGAGGGGGAGAGAGGGGCCCGGGTAATTCTAGACGTGCGGACAATCGGACTCCGCGTTCGCCACATGGTGTGGCTCCACCGCGCTACGCATCCAATACGCATCCAATACGAGTTTCGCATTTCCGCGTTTTCCTCAGAAAAATGTACAGCCAGCGAAATCGCATCGCGGTACCTCTTAAGTACTTAAAGTATCAGTATATATACGATATATCGCGTTATATTTTGCAGCTGACTCATATCGACATCAAGCTTGTTCGTGAAATCGCTAAAAATTTTTGCTTAAAATGTGACAAATTCTGGCTGTTTTTAAAGGTTTTTCATAATAAGTTCCTTACAGGTTTTAGGATGCTTAAATATTCGACGAATAGCATTAAATTGACAATCTACTCTAAATTTTTTGGAATAAATCTCACTTCAAACGTATGAAAATTCTTTCACTTTTTTCAAGAGTAATAGAATTTTCACTTTTTTTAGAGTGAAGTTTATTTCGAAGAATTTAAAGAGTTATTTAATTTGGAGAGATTATTATTACTCTTTCAGTTTGGTTGTATTGCAAGTCTAAAAGTAATCAGTCATATATGTGAAATATAAACTTATTGAAATACATACAAATATATTATTCCAACATTTAACTTTAACCGCAATTGGCACTTACAATTAGTTGACATAAAAATAATTCTGTTTGGATTATCAAAATAATTATGTCGAACTCTTAAACTAATTGCTGGAACTTTATAGAACTTCTTGTAATATTATCATCAACGTTTAAGTTCTAATAATTATTTCAATAATCCAAAATTATTTTCAGATCTATATTTAATTAAATTTTTAGGTACATCGACAAAATCGTTCTTTCCATGTAGTTTCAAATTTACACGATACAAAGATATATATACATATATATACGATATCACTTCCAAAGTTGACTCCGAATTTACTCGGGAATCTGCTATTAAAGTTACGAGACACCCTGTATACCATCTCTCAGAAAGCACACACCGGTATTTTCACCGACCGTTTCGAGAAAGAAACCGAAAGGACGAAGAAGAAGAAGAAGAAGAAGAAGAAGAAGAAGAAGAAGAAGAAGAAGAAGAAGGAGGAGAAGAAGAAGAAGAAGGAGAAGAAGAAGAAGGAGAAGAAAAAGAAGAAGTAAAAGGAAGTCGAGACGCCACGAGTCGCTCTCGAGACGTCTATATAGCGTTCACACACGCGGCAGCGTGCGAGAGAGGGAAACGGGAGGGTAGACCAAGAGGGGGATGAAGAGGGGAGGGGAGAGGGGGGGGGACAAAGATGGTTCCCCCCTTTTTCCCGTAAGTGGTCTCTCTCACCGCGGGCCTTATGGGGTTTCTCCCGGCAGTGGGCAGTATCTACATATTACAAGCTCGCGGCGCGGAGACCACCGTCGTTGACATAAGATCCTGTTATGCTGTCTGCTATCTCTCGGCGCAGCTCGTGTCGCGCCATAAAAAACATTAAAAGTACGAGTAACATAAATTCGTTAAGCGCGGCGGTCGCCTCGCTTCTCTCGCGAGAGTGCCCTCCTCGAGAGACGAGCGCTGATCGCCCGCTCGGAACACTCTCACCCTCTTCACCTCGTCGGGCTCTTTGTGTCTCCTCCATCTCCACTCTCGTTGCGATTCTCTTATTTTATTGCCCGTCGATTATACCGTCCACACAATACACAATCATCGATTTTAAACTTGGATTACACTGTTAGAGATCAAAGGAGCACAATGGTAACCCAATCCTTTGAGTTTAATAATATTTTGTTATTCTTAACTTTCATGTACGTCAAAATGTAAATCAATCCATTTCTATGGTTAGTTTCAAAATAAATATCGTCCATATTAACGTACATTAACGTACATTTAATAAATAATAAACTAAATTTGGGCTAAATTTAATTTCCTTAAATTGTTCAACTTTATTGTTTTATTAGGGTAGCAGCGACTTATAGGAATGATTTTTTTTAAATACTGAACCGATTAAAAATAACTCAAAGTGAGTATAATTTCACATTATAAATTTAATAGTGTAAGCTGTTATATTATGAGGAGCAATGAAAAAAGATTTTAATTTTTTTTTCTATCAAAAATATTGAGGGGGTGCTAAGTTTACAAAGCTAAAAACCCTATCGCAACTTAGTGAAAATTAGCACAATTCGCGAAAGTGTAGGTAAGTCGTAGGTTCGCGTGTGTGTTTCTTCGGTTTTCATTTCTTTCAATCGCGCGCCGTGAATTCCAGAATACTCCGCGTGCGCGTGCACGTAACTCACCGCGGTACGCCATGTCGGATAAACGAAGAAGAGATTCTTGCGGTAGGTACGGCTCGAAAGTGTCCGCAAGAAACTCGATCCGGCCGGCGCTCTAATCGACCGAAGAATTCCGCAGTGATGTCTATTCGAAAGGGAAATCCAAAGGTCGAATTGCAAATAGT